CCACACCAGTCAGTGACCTCGATGACGCAACAGTATTAATATGGTATTAAAAAGAATTGGATTGTTTGCTGTTTGTTTATTGTTGAAATTTATCACCAACAAGTCACAAACATCTATTGTAAAGAATCTGGCCTATCTATGCATAGAAAACCTGACATTAATATACTAATCCATCAGAAGAGATTCAATGCTCGGGATATCTTTTTTTATTTTCCCAAATGCCAGTACTTACCACTTCAAAATCTTTGCATGATGTTAAATTAGTCTGCTCATATTTTGTTCTGGCTTCAATATCACAATTAGGGCCATCCAACATGCCAATGATTTTAAAATCAGATAAAATTCCATAAATGAGAAGTTGAAAACTTTTGTTTGGCTGATAAAGTGTCCATGTTAAAATATCTTTGCAAACAGAAGCTGTAGTTCTATTAAATCAACACTGTGTCCACACAAATGTGCGTTCACTGTTCTCCACCATCAGGACATCTCCATGAATAGCAGATGAGATATTGAATACAAATAACTGTCAGTTTGCAAAGAATATTGGTTTTATTCTCATTTATTTTATAATCCTGGTATTATAATTCCAAAAATGTTTCCATTATATATGGTTCACCTAAAGATGCAGACAGCATTTGAAAGTTTGTGATAAAAGTATTGTTACGTCTCTGTTTGTTAATTGATTCCCGTAAATTCGTTCCGACGAAACTTTAGCGACACAAGTCTTTACTTAATAAAACTGGTTTATTCTTACCGAATATAACTTTACGATACACTTAATTTCAACAATCGCGCTGAAACAAACGCTATAACAACTAACGTGCTCACTTCAATAATACTATCTAACTGCAGATCAATTACTCACTGTCTACACACATTGTCACGTCACGCTGTGACCATCTTATATATATCAGACCACCCCCCAATCTAGTAAATGCTAGAGCACTCCCGAAGGAACGGGATAGTTATAGAAACATGGCATGACACTAGTCACGTGACCTCGCTGACGCAACACTGCCCCCTCCTTAGTATTGTTCGTCCCGAACAATAACCGCACACAATAAACCAATAACATTAACTTAATTAAAATGTACAGAATTACAAACACAAAATTACAATTCATCAAAGTCTCTTAATTTTAAGGGATGTATCTTCTTCTGTACTGGTCTCCGTCTCGTTGGATTCTGCTTCATGTGGGGTTCATCTGCTTCATCAGTAAATGTCCTATCATCGGTAACAGTCACATCAGTGGTAGTAACTTCATCAAGAGCTTAATCATTTCCCTTCTCAAACTGAGTAGAGTTTCTTCTTCGATGTTGGCTTTTTCAGGTGACACCTCTT